ATGAGAGAAGTAGAAAGTACAGGTATTTGGGTTCAACATGTGAGAAGTAGAAAGTACAGGTATTTGTGTTCAACATGTGAGAAGTAGAAAGTACAGGTATTTGAGTTCAACATGTAAGAAGTAGAAAGTACAGGTATTTGTGTTCAACATGTGAGAAGTAGAAAGTTCATGTATTTGTGTTCAACATGTGAGAAGTAGAAAGTACAGGTATTTGAGTTCAACATGTGAGAAGTAGAAAGTACAGGTATTTGAGTTCAACATGAGAGAAGTAGAAAGTACAGGTATTTGGGTTCAACATGTAAGAAGTAGAAAGTACAGGTATTTGTGTTCAACATGTAAGAAGTAGAAAGTACAGTATTTAGTGTTGTTCAACATGTAAGAAGTAGAAAGTACAGGTATTTGTGTTCAACATGTAAGAAGTAGAAAGTACAGGTATTTGTGTTCAACATGAAGAAAGTAGAAAGTACAGGTACTTGAGTTCAACATGTATCTAAGTAAAGAAATACAGGTATTTGGGTTCAACATGTAAGAAGTAGAAAGTACAGGTATTTGGGTTCAACATGTGAGAAGTAGAAAGTACAGGTATTTGTTCAACATGTAAGAAGTAGAAAGTACAGGTATTTCAGTTCAACATGTAAGAAGTAGAAAGTACAGGTATTTGGGTTCAACATGTAAGAAGTAGAAAGTACAGGTATTTGGGTTCAACATGTGAGAAGTAGAAAGTACAGGTATTTGTGTTCAACATGTAAGAAGTAGAAAGTACAGGTATTTGAGTTCAACATGAAGAAGTAGAAAGTACAGGTATTTGGTTCAACATGTAGAAGTAGAAAGTACAGGTATTTGTGTTCAACATGTAAGAAGTAGAAAGTACAGGTATTTGAGTTCAACATGTGAGAAGTAGAAAGTACAGGTATTTCAGTTCAACATGTAAGAAGTAGAAAGTACAGGTATTTGAGTTCAACATGTGAGAAGTAGAAAGTACAGGTATTTGTGTTCAACATGTGAGAAGTAGAAAGTACAGGTATTGAGTTCAACATGTGAGAAGTAGAAAGTACAGGTATTGGGTTCAACATGTAAGAAGTAGAAAGTACAGGTATTTGAGTTCACATGTAAGAAGTAGAAAGTACAGTATTTGTGTTCAACAGGTTAGATAGAAAGTACAGGTATTTGTGTTTCAACATGTTAAGAAGTAGAAAGTGACAGGTATTTGGTTCAACATGTAAGAAGTAGAAAGTACAGGTATTTGAGTTCAACATGTGAGAAGTAGAAAGTACAGGTATTTGAGTTCAACATGTAAGAAGTAGAAAGTACAGGTATTGGGTTCAAACATGTAAGAAGTAGAAAGTACAGGTATTTGGGTTCAACAGTGTAAGAAGTAGAAAGTACAGGTATTGAGTTCAACATGTGAGAAGTAGAAAGTACAGGTATTTGGGTTCAACATGTGAGAGTAGAAAGTACAGGTATTTGAGTTCAACATGTAAGAAGTAGAAAGTACAGTATTGGGTTCAACATGTGAGAAGTAGAAAGTACAGGTATTTGGGTTCAACATGTAAGAAGTAGAAAGTACAGGTATTTGGGTTCAACATGTAAGAAGTAGAAAGTACAGGTATTTGAGTTCAACATGTGAGAAGTAGAAAGTACAGGTATTTGAGTTCAACATGTAAGAAGTAGAAAGTACAGGTATTTGGGTTCAACATGTAAGAAGTAGAAAGTACAGGTATTTGAGTTCAACATGTAAGAAGTAGAAAGTACAGGTATTTGAGTTCAACATGTGAGAAGTAGAAAGTACAGGTATTTGGGTTCAACATGTAAGAAGTCAAAGTTAAAAGTCGTCAGAAAAATAAGTATGGGAGTAAAGTACTGATACCAGAAAAATGTAACATATAAGGTTAGATTTAGTTATGAAGGATCCTCACTGATGATTTGTTATTGCTCTCCTCAGATTAGAGATATTCTTCTTAACAGTGACGACAGTGATGATGACAATGAAGAGGCTTCAGTAGACTCGGACGATTCGTTCAGAACTACTGATGGATCCGGATCATCATTTGAGAACCCCTTTGATTGTGAGTAACAGTAGTATCATTAGTGTCTACTTTAAAGAGTCCTCTCCTGTTGATGTTCGGGTGTACATCAGTATGTAGTGTCTCTACTTTAAAGAGTCCTCTCCTGCTGATGTTCAGGTGTATATCAGTATGTAGTGTCTCTACTTTAAAGAGTCCTCTCCTGCTGATATTCAGGTGTATATCAGTATGTAGTGTCTCTACTTTAAAGAGTCCTCTCCTGCTGATGGTCAGGTGTATATCAGTATGTAGTGTCTCTACTTTAAAGAGTCCTCTCCTGCTGGTGTTCAGGTGTATATCAGTATATAGTGTCTCTACTTTAAAGAGTCCTCTCCTGCTGATATTCAGGTGTATATCAGTATATAGTGTCTCTACTTTAAAGAGTCCTCTCCTGCTGATATTCAGGTGTATATCAGTATGTAGTGTCTCTACTTTAAAGAGTCCTCTCCTGCTGATGTTCAGGTGTATATCAGTATGTATTGTCTCTACTTTAAAGAGTCCTCTCCTGCTGTTGTTCAGGTGTATATCAGTATATAGTGTCTCTACTTTAAAGAGTCCTCTCCTGCTGATGTTCAGGTGTGTATCAGTATGTAGTGTCTCTACTTTAAAGAGTCCTCTCCTGCTGATGTTCAGGTGTATATCAGTATGTAGTGTCTCTACTTTAAAGAGTCCTCTCCTGCTGATATTCAGGTGTATATCAGTATGTAGTGTCTCTACTTTAAAGAGTCCTCTCCTGCTGATGGTCAGGTGTATATCAGTATGTAGTGTCTCTACTTTAAAGAGTCCTCTCCTGCTGATGTTCAGGTGTATATCAGTATGTAGTGTCTCTACTTTAAAGAGTCCTCTCCTGCTGATATTCAGGTGTATATCAGTATGTAGTGTCTCTACTTTAAAGAGTCCTCTCCTGCTGATGGTCAGGTGTATATCAGTATGTAGTGTCTCTACTTTAAAGAGTCCTCTCCTGCTGATTATTCAGGTAGTATATCAGTATGTAGTGTCTCTACTTTAAAGAGTCCTCTCCTGCTGATGTTCAGGTTGTATATCAGTATGTAGTGTCTCTACTTTAAAGAGTCCTCTCCTGCTGATGGTCAGGTGGTATATCAGTATGTAGTGTCTCTACTTTAAGAGTCCTCTCCTGCTGATGTTCAGGTGTATATCAGTATGTAGTGTCCTCTACTTTAAAGAGTCCTCTCCATGCTGATGTTCAGGGTATATCAGTAGTAGTGTCTCTACTTTAAAGAGTCCTCTCCTGCTGATATTCAGGTGTATATCAGCATGTAGTGTCTCTACTTTAAAAGGAGTCCTCTCCTGCTGATGTTCAGGTGTATATCAGTATGTAGTGTCTCTACTTTAAAGAGTCCTCTCCTGCTGATGTTCAGGTGTATATCAGTATGTAGTGTCTCTACTTTAAAGAGTCCTCTCCTGCTGATGTTCAGGTGTATATCAGTATGTAGTGTCTCTACTTTAAAGAGTCCTCTCCTGCTGATGTTCAGGTGTATATCAGTATGTAGTGTCTCTACTTTAAAGAGTCCTCTCCTGCTGGTGTTTAGGTGTATATCAGTATGTAGTGTCTCTACTTTAAAGAGTCCTCTCCTGCTGGTGTTTAGGTGTATATCAGTATGTAGTGTCTCTACTTTAAAGAGTCCTCTCCTGCTGGTGTTTAGGTGTATATCAGTATATAGTGTCTCTACTTTAAAGAGTCCTCTCCTGCTGGTGTTTAGGTGTATATCAGTATGTAGTGTCTCTACTTTAAAGAGTCCTCTCCAGCTGGTGTTTAGGTGTATATCAGTATGTAGTGTCTCCATGCTTTAATGTTCAAAAAGCTCTTTATTTTTTAATAAAATACAATTGTGTTGTGTTCGCAGTGAGCCCTTCGGATGATGACAGTCGGGCCCTGCAGGCGCTCAGCGACCGATGGTTCTCCTGACGGGACGACATTACACAATATACCCCCCCCCTCTCTTTTTAAAGCATCATTTCTCTCTCTTAAGGTTGAGTCGACTGAACTCTGATAACATTTCCTGGAGGACGACGATGATGTCTGTGAGATCTTCGCTATTTTATTTTTAGAGGAAGCACGGTGATGATGAATAAATATTTCCCAGAGTTCTTGGGGCTCGACATGCTTTCTGCTTCCTTTCAGTCGGAGAAATTATTTGTGTCCGGATTATTGCCCCTCGTCCCCGTGGAAGGAGTTTTTAATATTTTTCTGCTGGAAATGAGACGTTTTTTCACGTCGTGAGATCAGAGCAGAATTTCCTTTCCTTACAAACAACCAAGACATGTCAAAAAAGAGCTCGTCGTCAGTCAGTGTTAATCTAAAATAAAAAAAACTAATCTAAATTCACTTTTGCCCGCTCTTTATCCCTTTACTACTCTTTCTTCAACAGCAATAACAACTGCACGTTGTTTTATCCTTTAAACACGCACAGAACATATTAAGATCCTATAATAACAGTTAAAGATATTATGAATTAAAAGGGTTTCTTTTCACAGTTTGATCGCACAGGTTTACTGGAAACAAAGACTTTCTTATTTGCAAATATAAGAAACTTCTCTACATTTCCATGAACGAAATAAAAACTTGTGTGCTCTTTTCGGTTAAATTCAAAATGCCAGATCTACTACACTGTACTTTTAACGATAAATATAATTTCCCCACGGAATTAATTATAATGCATGTTAATATGGATACCCTGGGTGTGTCATATATTACAATTTACATTATATTTTAATGTAATTTATTTTAGCTTATCTTTTATAGGGTTTTTTTCAAGTTGGGAAAATTAAAATGAGTTTTTTTAAGTATCAATATTTGCTGTTAGCCCCCTGGATCCTCCTTATAAATAGAAAATGGCCTTAATGTCCAACTTTTCTGAAGACAGAAAACCTGCAGAGTGAGTTAGTTTTTCAAAAACGTTGAAAACAGATTACGTTAAGAAAAATGTAAAAAAACAATGTTCTTTATGGGCCGTGTTGTTTAGTTGGAGGGTTTTAGCAGCAGATAATAACAAGAACATCTCAAAATGGGATCAAAGACAGTAAAACATGAGAAATAAAAACATTACGTTGCTGTGACCTTACATGTGGTGTTACAGTTTGTCAGTATCTAGTGTCTACTTTAAAGAGTCCTCTCCTGCTGATGTTCAGGTGTATATCAGTATGTAGTGTCTCTACTTTAAAGAGTCCTCTCCTGCTGATGTTCAGGTGTATATCAGTATGTAGTGTCTCTACTTTAAAGAGTCCTCTCCTGCTGACGTTCAGGTGTATATCAGTATGTAGTGTCTCTACTTTAAAGAGTCCTCTCCTGCTGATGTTCAGGTGTATATCAGTATGTAATGTCTCTACTTTAAAGAGTCCTCTCCTGCTGATGTTCAGGTGTATATCAGTATGTAGTGTCTCTACTTTAAAGAGTCCTCTACTGCTGATGTTCAGGTGTATATCAGTATGTAGTGTCTCTACTTTAAAGAGTCCTCCCCTGCTGATGTTCAGGTGTATATCAGTATGTAGTGTCTCTACTTTAAAGAGTCCTCTCCTGCTGATGTTCAGGTGTATATCAGTATATAGTGTCTCTACTTTAAAGAGTCATCTCCTGCTGATGTTCAGGTGTATATCAGTATGTAGTGTCTCTACTTTAAAGAGTCCTCTCCTGCTGATGTTCAGGTGTATATCAGTATGTAGTGTCTCTACTTTAAAGAGTCCTCTCCTGCTGATGTTCAGGTGCATATCAGTATGTAGTGTCTCTACTTTAAAGAGTCCTCTCCTGCTGATGTTCAGGTGTATATCAGTATGTAGTGTCTCTACTTTAAAGAGTCCTCTCCTGCTGATGTTCAGGTGTATATCAGTATGTAGTGTCTCTACTTTAAAGAGTCCTCTCCTGCTGATGTTCAGGTGTATATCAGTATGTAGTGTCTGTACTTTAAAGAGTCCTCTCCTGCTGATGTTCAGGTGTATATCAGTATGTAGTGTCTCTACTTTAAAGAGTCCTCTCCTGCTGATGATACGTGACACAGTCCTTTAGTGTATGTCATCACAAAACAGCAATTAATTAAAAGGGAATTACTATTAATTACAATATAATCTGTGAATTAGTTGTTTTGTACAAAAATGACAGTCCATCTTCACGACTTGCGACACACAATCTGCACCAGAGGATCCGGGATTTCTTCCACATCTGTTTTTGTTTACTGGTTTGTTTATCTGTGACTAATACTTGTGCTGAACAGAAAACATGGATTACAACTAAATTCAATGTGTGAGAAATACAACTTTGTTTCCAACATGATCTCAGGGTTTGGCTATACTGAATGTACTACGTTTCTATTCAGAGGATGTTAGTCTACCATTGACAACCTTAATTCATGTTTATTAAGAAGTTATATAAGTATTTCAAACAGCAGCTTTTTGTAGTCATCGAATCTACAGTTTTATAAAAGATCGTGATGTTTATGAAATTGTTGTGAATGGTTTATGAGATTCTGTTCAGTTTGTCACTTCTACTTTCATAATAAAAACTCCTTTCTTGTGACTCTTTTCTTCAGACTTTCAGGAGTTCAAATGCTTCTTAGCAGCACAACTTCTATCTGCAAATGAACCGGGAAATAAAACACAATTATGAAATAACCTGAGGGTCTCTGGTTTGATTCCCAGCTTGTTTTCATTGTTATTTCACTGAACTGTCAAATTATCGATGTGGCAAGGTCCAGGGAGGAACCCCTCAGAAGCAAACTCCATCTAATTTGTTATGGAAAGAGTGAGGCTGTGAGGATGATTGCTAACACATCCCTCGTTGGAAGAAATGTGTCAATCATAGACCTATCTGCACACAGTAGGATTGATCCGCACCAAAGAAAACATTTTCAGTCTGTTTGATAAAACCTTTGAGAGGGTTTTGCATTATAGTCCAGCAGATATGTGAAATATCTGAAAGAATTGTGCTTTTGATGATAAAAACATGAAATTTGGCACACTGTTAGAGCATGCCCTAAGGAACATTTTTGGCTATAGAGATGTGAAGTCCCTCCCCTTCCGGGAGCCTCCATGGGACCCCGGAAGCGGAAAATTATACATTGAAGTCAATGGAGAGAGAAAAGTTATCTTTTGATCCCGTTTGAATTGTGCCACGAATGACACACATGATGTTTGTCAATTTAAAAGACCATTTTGCAAGTCAAAAAAATACAAATGTGTCGTAAAACTGTGAAGTTACACATTTTTTTGTGTGAAACCGCTCAGTGAACTACAGGTCTCTGGTCTCGCACAATACACGTCAACATCACAAAGATGGCCGTCATGTTAGCACATTTCACCTGTTTCTTTCAGAATGAGGCGAAAAGTATAAAACGAGGTGAAAATCACTACAAGTCTGGGCATGTTGAGAGCTGTACATACACGAAAGGGGAGTTAGTCGGTTCTGTAAGAGCCAGCGGGACCGGCTTTACAAGGTTTCGGTGAGTAATATGAGTGCAATGTTTAACGTTAATGTCAGCTAGCTAACAAGGTACACTAACGTGTTTTGTTTTAGCAACTAGTTTTCTCCTTAAAGTCCACCAGCGCATCCACACGGGAGAGAAACCATACAGCTGTGAAGAGTGTGGGAAAATGTTCACTACATCAGGTAACCTCACAATCCATCGTCGTATTCACACTGGAGAGAAACCATACAGCTGTGAACAGTGTGGGAAAACGTTTTCTACATCATGTAACCTCACAATCCATCGTCGTATTCACACTGGAGAGAAACCATACTAGTGTGAAGAGTGTGGGAAAAGTTTCACTGCATCAAGTCACCTCACAATCCACCGTCGTATTCACACTGGAGAGAAACCATTCAGCTGTGAAGAGTGTGGGGAAAGTTTCACTACATCAAGTCACCTCACAATCCATCGTCGTATTAACACTGGAGAGAAACCATTCAGCTGTGACCAGTTTGACAAGTCATTCGCTAGATTACGTCATTTTAAGATCCATCACCACATTCACACGGGAGAAAAACCGTACTGGTGTGACTCATGGTAGTAGTCTTAAAGTCCACCAGCGCACTCACTCTGCCTCCATCTGATCCTTTTCTGAGTCAAGCTAGCATTCCACCTGCTTTTGTCCAAATGTAAAGCTGACCAACGGTGACTAAAGTCACGTTCTAATAAACAAGTTTTTATGGACTACATTCAGACCTCCCAAAACCCTGCTGTCCTCACACACTTAGCTCTATATGTGAGTGTTATGGTTAATACAAACGTTTTTTTATTTAAATAGAGCAGCCTTTTCACATTTTTCTGTATGTAAAGAAAAATGGAATCTCATCTTGTTTCATCTTCATGTTAATTTTCAGTGAGCATTTTTTATTTGACATTCATATTCTCTGTTTCTATTGCTCATTACTGAATGTTTACCGTAGAGGTAGGTGAGGGGTTCACACCTTCCTCCTGTTGTCCCTTAAGGTTTCACATAAAGTCTAAGAGTTGCAGAACAATTACTTCACATTTACATTTCTAAATGCATGCTCCAATCATTTGGAGGAGGGGAGGGTCTGCAGGAAGTGGGGAGGGGTGTGAATGAGGGTTATATTTGGGGTTAGAGCTGCAGAGAAAATATTCTCTTTATTCTTAGAATTTTTACTTTTTTTTCAGAATGTTGACTTTTTTCAAATTTCTGACTTTCAAAGTATTTTATTTATTTCAGAATTTCTTTTTTTTATTACTGAATTCTGAATTTTTTTCTCAGTATTTCATTTATTTTCAGAATGTTATACTGGTGTGAAGAGTGTGGGAAAACGTTCACTAGATCAGATCAACTCAAAACACATCACCCTATTCACACGGGAGAGAAACCATACTGGGGTGCAGAGTGTGGGAAAAGCTTTTCGAGAGGTAGTAATCCATGAGTGCTCACAATGCAACTCTGAGAGCAAAGCTAGCTGTTTCCTCCTCCTGGTGTCCTGAGAGCTGTATTGTTATATTTTAAGTCTTTCTCAATTAAAATCTGACCAACTGTTATTATTTTTCTAACCAGCATTCACACTATGCCAACACGAGGCCACAGAGATGCTGCTTCTCCTGATTTAATTCATGTATGTAATAGTTACTGATCTATAAAGAAATGTTCTACTATGCTGTGTTTCAACCATGGTTTTCTTATAGCCTGTTATGCTTCAGTTAAAAAGTTACTGTTTCTCCTTTTATGAAATGTTCAATGTCCCGGGTTAAACTGCTAGCCTCGTTAAGCTTCATTGAAGGGATTTTGTTTTACTGTTCATTAATCTCCAGAGTAGTTTTCTCTAATAATCTGTTTGGTTAATAAAATATTGTGACTGGAAACTTCTTCTGGATGTTTTTGATAGTTCCTGTTTCCAGTAAGCAGTCTGTTCTACTGTCGCTCCTTTTTGCTAATGTTGGGCTTTCCTCATAAGAACTCACTCTTCACTACTTTCCCATGTTTGTGCCCCCCCTTGTCTTTCAGGTTTTAATGAAGGATAGTTTAACTGTGAAGGAGCTGTGATCAGTGTGTGAACCAAATGACTAAAAGCATATTCAGAGACAGAGAACAAGCTTTTGGATAAGTTTCCTTTTTTATTATGAAATGAAACAAAACATGTCAGATACTTGTTTCTATTCGTGGGAAAACTTGCAAAGGTTTAATTGAAAAAACAACAATAAAACTAAACAAAAAGTATATACATTTGTAAAAAAAAGTGAAAAATACACAAAGTTGGTAAATATAATGTTGAAAAAAATAAATGTATTTAGCACAAAAACCCCAAAAAGCGTACACAATGGTATATGCAACAGTCGAATATGATTTTTTTTTAAAATCAGGGTTAATTAGTGTTAATAGTTGTATAATTATTATATTTAATTCATACTTGTTGTGAACCAGACTTTGTTTTTCCAATATATATAATATGTTGTACTGATTTGTATGAATGCTGCATATTATCACCAGTAACTATTAAAGAATATCATAACACAGTATGTGTGTCTGTGTGTGTTGTGTTCATACAGTCTGATTGTTCTGATCAGGTTCTGATGCACTCAGGTTTACTCACCTACAGAAAAAGGACCCTCTGCTCTACATGACCTACAAATAATAATCAGAGTAATAATGGTAAAGTATTTTCTAACTTAAATTGAAATAGACCAGTTCAGTTTTAAAGTAATTAAACAGCCACACATCACAATAAAGCAAGCACACAAAGAAAACGAACACACAGATGTTAATTATTTATTATTTATTGTCAAAATTAACTATCTAAATGTACATTAAAAAAATAAAAATATATACTAGAAAAATTAAAAAAAACACTTGTTTATACATTTGAATGTATTTTTTAATAATACAATAACGTAATAAAAACAAACTTGAAAAATAATATATAATAGCAATTTAAAATAAAGATAATTACAAATACAACATGTTTTACCATACATAAATATATATATAACACAAGAAGTTGATACAAATGTAATTACTAAATATTTTTTATAATTTAAAATTGGCAAAAAAAAACGTTATAACAGACAATCAAAACTAATTATAACAATAACGTAAAACAACAAATACATGCTATTTTTTTATAAACCAAAAGCATTTTCTTCATAACCTCAAAGAAATGTATTATTGTAGTATAACCAGCAGGGGGAGTGCTTTTACGTAGATTTACTTGTTCTCATCTGTTGCTCCGTGCTCCTCTCGCTCTCCTGCTAGCTGCCTGGCTGCTGAGCACAGATCCCTTAAAGGGAAAGGGCCGGTGCAATTTTTGTCATCCTACTTTCATTTATTTTATTCTTAAAGGGATGATATCATTGACCAATTTTAAACTCGTATTTTAATGAAATAACTTCTCAATTACTTTTATGCTTTTTAATATTTTACTAATATGTATTTGAAACGTATACACTTTCATGAATGTATTTGCTATGTTTTAATGTGGGTTACATATGTATTTAGGAAAACAAACAACCGTATAGGATTAAAATAAAGACTTCCCTCATTCTCAGACAGATCAACCAACACATCCTCACTCCCAGGTCGGCCTATGTTGACGTTATGTCAAGTCCCCTGTCGGCTTTTTCCAACGCAAGGGGGGGGGGCCTTAGCGTCCATTTTCAACGCAAGGGGGGGGGCCCTTAGCGTCCATTTTCAGCTTTCCGGGATGTCCATATGCTTCTATAGACGCTCATGGAAGCACGGCATTCGTTTGTGTCGGCTGCCCTTAAAGGCAATGTGAGCGTCCATTCTCATTGGATAACGGAAAATTGTACACCCGGAAGTAAGTATTCCCCTTACTGTCGATTGATTTTACAGTGATATCTGCACTACTCATCGACTAAAAAACACCAGATTATCCTTGTTAATGACACAACATTGATTGGTTTAAATTGTGTGCAATTGTAACCAATGTATAACTTCACTTGTTTATATTTCAGTAAAATCATTGTCCATACTTTATTTGTAAAACTTGTCACTGTCACTTTATTTTTTAGATGCTTTTATTTTTGAAAAGTACGTTTTATTTTGGTACTCATGGCACCGGCACATTTCTGCAGACTCGCGCTACTTTCCTCAGTTAGCTTCAGGCCCCACTGAGGAGAAGTAAGTGGAACGAGTGGTGTCATAAATGTTGTATTTTATATGTTAATAGATTGTTTAATGTTACACTTCACACAAGCCAAACCTATTTGCAGTTAATATCTATATTTTGCCGTGTGTGACTGTAGTTTATATAATGTGCAGCGCTTCAAACAGTGTTTGGGAGCTTTCTAAAGTTTAGCTATATGCTAACCTAACATGTGCGTGTTTTCTTCCACTGAAGGTGTGAAGTTAGAAAGCTGATGAAGCCATTTCCTGCTTTAATTATTATATTCTGTTTTGCACAGGTATGTGGGTATTCTTTTTGTATTTTGTAACTGTAAATTGTATTGTTTGTTATGTAAGTGTAAATTAATGGTTATATTTGTGTATATTGGTTTACAAGGAAAAACTGGTTTGCCACCATGGATAGATGTATATCTGTTAATTGTATTATTTAGAACGCTGTATACTTTCCTGAGTTAGCTTCAGGCCCCACTGAGGAGAAGTGTGAAGTTAGAAAGCTGATGAAGCCATTTCCTGCTTTAATTATTATATTCTGTTTTGCACAGAGAATAAATCCTGGTTGGCAAGAAAGAAGTCGTTCTCATTTACACAACATAACACAACGCAGAGATCACATGTGGCGTCAAACCAGAACGGTTACAGTGGTGCCGTGACCCGGATTCACAGTGCTTCAGACTGTTCCATCGTCGTTCCTGAGGCTGTGGATCAACACCAGCTTGGTCACCAGAGGTTGCTACACGCCACACACTTACTTTCATGTATTGAAGAGAAGGAATTACATAGAGGAAACTGTTTTTTTTTTGTTTGTTTTTTTTTCTCTCTGTAATTATTTTTACATTCATTGTTTAGAGAGTACATTTGTCATTTCTGTATTTTATTGTATACTGAATTTTGAAGTTTGGTATACAGGGTTAAAAATGACATATGTTACTGGTAAAATGGATGAGGACAATGTTCTAACTGACAGTTTTAGTTTCGGTTTTGGAAGAGGGAAACCCATCAGCGGGTACCCTTTTATACCAGTCAGAGGTACAGCTAATGTAGATTCGCCAGCTTTTTGTTCTACTCGCTTGCCAGGTCATGTAGCATCACCTCAGAGGGAGGAGGATTCACATTCAAGCCTTCCAGATACAAATGATGCAGCTTTAAATAACCTGATAACACACATTGCTCAGCAGGTAGGACAGACTATAAGAGATCAGTTAAGGGGGGAATGTGAAGAGAGGGGTGTTGGAGCCACACCAGCTCAGAGCGGTGTTGGCCAGTTACCCAGTGACCACACTTACCTCAACTTGACTGGTGCAAAGTTAGTGTTGCAGTCAGATGTGAGAGAGCCTCCAGTCTTCAGAGGAGATGGATCTGACAAGAATACAGTCTGTGAGTGGGAAGAGTTAATGGGAGTGTATTTGAGGAAACGAGCCACACCTCTGAGAGAACAGCACATTGAGATCATGTCTAAGTTAATGGGCAAGGCTAAAGACATAGTGAGGATAACTCTGAGGAGCTGCCCATCCATGAAGCCTCAAGATAACCCACAATTGATCTATGACATCCTCAGACAACACTTTAGTGATGTGACCTATTCATGTATGCCCATGGCTGATTTCTACAGTACAGTTCCAGTGGCAGGAGAGTCCCCCGTAGAGTACTGGCTTCGGCTAAACAAGGCAGTTGATGCAGCGGAGGAGGGCTTGAAGAGGCTAGGGCGGAAGATGGAGGATTCTTGTCAGGAAGTAGCGATGATGTTTGTCAAATACTGCCCAGATCCCACCCTTGCTGCTGTTTTCAAGTTTAAGGCACCAGATAAGTGGACAGCTAGTGAAATCCAAGAGCATATTGATCGCTACCAAACTGAAATGAAAGAACAGGTGCTTTCCAAATCAAAGAGAGTTAAACCAGTGACAGTTCATGTCCAGGTTTCCGCACCTGACGTTTCAGAGATAGTATGTCACCCACGGGAGCCATCTATGCAAGGTGAGGACAGCACAGCATCCAAGCCCTCTTGTAATGATGACTGTATGAAAATGTTAGTCAGTTTATTTGACAGAGCATTGTTACAGAACAACCAGGTTACACACAAACCACTCCCCTCTGATCCATTTCAACCGAAAGCCTGCAGGGTCTGCCAGTCTCTAGATCATTCCACCCTTGCACACTGCAGGCAGAAACGCCTCTGCTTAGTGTGCTTCGAGCCAAACCACATCAAGAAGAACTGTCCTAACCGTCAGGCTGGCCGAGGTTCTCCGGCTTTCCCGCCACAGAATTCTCAACCTTTAAACTAACTGGCCCGCATTTAGTGAGGGAATGTGTGGGAAACAGAGAAGAAACCCTCAACAGTGGTGATATTGAAACTCATTATATAAAAGCATGCGCAGCAGCACCAGCCGATGCTAAGGTAATAGTGCAAAATACACAGAGAGTGGGCCCTTTTGATGAGTTGTTTTACACCCCTGTTAGCATTAACAACACATTTCAGGTGCAGGGGATGCTTGACTCTGGTTCCATGGCTTGTACTCTCAGCGAGCAGGCAGAGCAGAAGATGTTGAGTGAGAATATACTCTCAGAATCCATTCCTTTGACTCAAGAGATTGTGCTAATAGGCTGTGGAGGGACACTTAGCAAACCCAAGTGTATGTACGAAGTGGAAATGAAACTGTATGGGGAGAGCTGTATCGTACCTGTCCTTGTGGTGCCTGGCCAACGAGATGACTTAATCATAGGCACAAATGTCATCAGATTTATCATGCATCAGCTGAAAATAACCAGTGACTATTGGCGCCTGGTTTCCAGTGGAAATCTTCTCCCAGAGTGTGAACAGTTCCTTGATCTCATGGCAAACTCATCCAGGTGGAGAGGCGAGGAGCTTCCAGACAGAATCGGGACCGTTAAACTCCAGCATGCGGTTACGCTGTTGGCTAAGAAAGAACATCTTGTTTGGGGTAAGTTGCCAAATAACGCTCCCATGTCTCCAGGCAGCACAGTAATAGTTGAGCCCACCTCATCCAAGTGCATGCCTCGTAACATCATGATCGGTCGTGTTATTACACCATTGTGGGGTGACAGATGGATCCCAATGAAAGTCACAAACGTGTCAGACAAGCCTATCACCCTGAAAAGAAACAGCAAGTTGGCCGACGTGTTCCCCTGTCTAGCTGTTGAAGAGTTTGAGGTTTTTCAAGGTACCAGCCAACTCAACAACGTTAAGGAGGAGGAAAGTCATGGCAAGGCTAAACCTACAGATTTCAAGCAGCGACTACAACAGGTTGGACTGACTGAGGTTGATATCGATCAGTGCCAGGCTGGCCAAGGAGGAAAGAAGAGGTTGGTCGCGCTGCTTGAAAAGTACAATGACATTTTCTCCAAACATGCTCTGGACTGCGGTGAGGCAGAGGGCTTCATGCACCGCATCAGGCTCACTGATGAGAGACCATTCCGTCTCCCTTACCGGCGGGTGCCACCAGCCCATTACCAGAAACTGCGACAGGTCCTTTCAGAAATGGAAGAACAGGAGATCATCAGGAAGTCAGTAAGTGATTATGCCTCTCCCCTTGTACTTGTGTGGAAAAAAGATGGCAGTTTGAGACTCTGCACAGACTTCAGGTGGCTGAATGCAAGGACGCTCAAGGATGCGCACCCATTACCACACCAGTCAGACTGCTTGGCTTCCCTGGGTGGGAACACCTACTTCAGCACAATGGATCTGACCTCTGGCTTCTATAACATCCCAATGGCAGAGGAGGACAAGAAATACACTGCATTCACTACTCCAATGGGACTGTATGAATTCAACAGGATGCCCCAAGGTTTGTGCAACAGTCCTGCCTCATTCATGCGCATGATGCTCAGCATATTTGGAGACCTGAACTTCAGCAGTTTGCTGTGTTATCTTGATGATCTGCTTGTGTTTGCTGCAACTGAAGAAGAGGCGTTGGAGAGGCTGGAGGTTGTTTTTCAGCGGCTCAGGCTTCACAACCTTAAACTGAGTCCAAAGAAATGCCACCTGATGAGATCTTCAGTCAAGTTCCTAGGTCACATTATAGATGGTAATGGAGTGGCTATGGATCCAGCAAAAGTTGAGGTCATATCAAAAATGTCAAAGTTGGACCTGATGGAAGACGATGGTTGCACACCATCAGTAAAGAGGATAAAGTCTTTTCTGGGGATGGTGTTCTACTATCAACATTTTATCTCTAACTGTTCTGCTATGGCCAAGCCACTGTTTGCTCTTACTGCAGGCCAAAAGAGACGAGGGAGAGTCAAACTAAACTCCAATACCGGCTCCTTCAGGAAACTGAAACCCTCTGATTGGACAGAGGAATGTGATGCGGCTCTTTGTAATCTGAAAGACAGTCTCTTGAGCTACGTCGTCCTCTCACACCCAGATTTCTCTCGCCCTCTGATTCTATCTATTGATGCCTCTCTGGACGGGCTAGGGGCCGTGCTATCACAGATACCAGCTGGTGAAGAGAAAGCACGTCCCATTGCATTTGCAAGTAAGACTCTCAGTGGCTCTCAGAAGAGATATCCCGCCCATAGGCTTGAGTTTCTGGCCCTGAAATGGAGTGTGTGTGAAAAATTTAGCCATTGGTTAAAAGGCCATGAATTTACAGTATGGACTGATAATAACCCTCTTACCTACATCCTGACGAAACCGAAGCTTGATGCGTGCGAACAGCGCTGGGTGTCTAGGCTCGCTCCTTACACATTCGACCTGAGACATATACCTGGCACCAAGAACATAGTGGCTGATGCTCTCAGCAGAGATCCTTTCGCAAGATCAGTAAGCCACAGGCTCATCACAGAGCAGTACAGTCACCTTCTTGCTGAAGCCGAGGGTGTTAGTCACGACGGCATTCAAGACACTTTCCGACTCAAAGTCCAGTGTCAGCAGATGAAGAAGTTACCTGGTGGCAGCATTAAGTCTCAATCTGACCCCCTCATGTGTCACAGTGATTCTGTAGCTGTCAAGGCTCTTTTAGATGTTCATGCTCAGTGGGAGATTGCTGCTGAGACGAGAGCTGTGGAGTTGGCTCAGACTGTCCAGGATCTGTTGCTGCCGGGCCAAGACTCCCTTCCTGTGTTCTCGTTAGAGGAACTCAAGCACAGTCAGGAATTTGATCTCATTATTTCAAAACTCCTACCATTTGTGCTTCGCAACCGCCGTCCTTCCAGACGTGAACGATCAGGACTAGATGCCAAAGTTATGGTTCTCATCAAACAATGGGAGAGACTGAAGGTTCAGAATGGTGTCCTCTATCGGGTCACCAAGGATAATTTCAGTAAACAAAAGAGGCATCAGTATGTTCTGCCTGACAGTCTTAAAGAAAAAGCATTACATGGCATTCATGATGTTGCTGGGCATCAGGGACAGGCTAGGACCTTGCATCTAGCAAGACAGCGGTTCTTTTGGCCGAAGATGGAGTCTGATGTCAAAGAGTATGTCAAATGCTGTCAAAGGTGCATTCTGGCGAAGACACCAGAACCCTCGGCTCGAGCCCCACTTGAAAGCATCAGGACGTCTGCCCCCATGGAGTTAGTGTGCATAGACTTCTGGAGTGCGGAGGATAGTAAGCAGCACTCAGTGGATGTTCTTGTCTTGACAGACCACTTCACAAAGCTAGCCCACGCTTTTCCATGCACTAATCAGACTGCAAAACAGGTCGCCAAGAAGCTGTGGGATCACGTGTTTTGTGTGTATGGCTTTCCAGAGCGTGTTCACTCCGATCAGGGAGCTAATTTTGAGAGTGAGCTCATAGCAGAATTGCTCAAACTTTCCGGAGTCTCCAAATCACACACTACTGCATACCATCCAATGGGAAATGGAGGAACAGAAAGATTCAATCGAACACTTGGGAATATGCTGCGGTCTCTCTCTCTAAAAGAGAAACACAAGTGGCCTCAACAGATACAAGCTCTGACTTTTGCATATAATGCAACAGTACATGAAACAACAGGATATGCACCGTTCCAGCTTATGTTCGGCAGAACCCCGAGGCTCCCTGTGGATGTGATGTTCAAGCAAGTGTTGCATGATCCAGTGGTTGTTGATTACAAAAGCTATGCCAAAACGCTCATGTCACATCTTCATGAAGCAGTAAGAATTGCCCAAGAACACAGCATCAAAGAACAGGACAAACAAGCAAGTGGTTACAACAGAAAAGTGAGAGGCATTCACCTGAACTTAGGGGACAGAGTGCTCATTGCAAACAAAGGTGAGAGAGGAAAGAAGAAACTGGCTGACAAATGGAGTGCAATTGTGTACACAGTTAAAGACAGAAACCTGCAGACACACACATACAAGCTGGTGGACAGTAGTGGAAACACTAAGATAGTTCATCGAAACCTGGTCTTAGACATCAGCTTTTTGCCTGTGGTGACAACTGGAGAAGAATTGTGTGATACTGAAGTGGAGGAAAGGTCGTATACGACTGATTCCCTGGACTCTTTGGAGGAGGAGGAGGATTCAAGAGGCAGGACCAGTACGTGGATAATGAGTGGATCAGAGGAAACCCGGAGTCAAATGATTATGAGTGAACGATCGTCTGAGGTGGATCAGTCAAGTCAGGGCATTCCAGAAGTGGACTGGTCTGCAGATGGTCCAATTCAGTGCTTCCCAAATGACCAGAACCGGTCCAGCAGAGACACTAACTTCGACAGTTTAGTTGCAGGGGCTGACTCAGACTCATCATTCATGTCACATGTACATTCAGGACACCTAAACACTCAGTCACATCCTGCAGACACAGGTCATGTCACAGTTACACAGGTAGAATCGACAGTAGAAACTGAACCTGTAGTCAGGACAAGGGCAGGCAGGGTTAGCAAAAGAATCAATCGACTCATTGAGTCCATGGTCCAAAAGCCTTTTGATTTAAGGGGTTTTGTGAGTTCAGTTAACAAGAGATCTCAGTCACTACTTACACTGTTTTAAAGTGACAAGCTTGTAGTTTTTTTGTTTTTGTTTGTACCTCTGATCTGGTAAATATGCCTTTTTAAGGGACAATGTCTAATGTATGTGTTTTGTGTAATATGTTACATGTTTGAGAGTAGCAGGGAGTTGTATGGTGTACAAGGCATCATATTAATCTAGGAGGGACTAAGGCTTGATCTCCCTTATGTTTTCTCTGAACCTATATAGTAGGTGGCTTTTACAGCCGATGGTAAAGCTAAGAGTTTTTCAGTTAACCCTGCACAAGTTTGATGTCAGTTGTCTTGGAGGTCAGAATGGTTTATTCAGAGGTACACTATGGTCTGGATTTTTGCGAAATATAGGAGGGGTGTATGTAACCAATGTATAACTTCACTTGTTTATATTTCAGTAAAATCATTGTCCATACTTTATTTGTAAAACTTGTCACTGTCACTTTATTTTTTAGATGCTTTTATTTTGAAAAGTACGTTTTATTTTGGTACTCATGGCACCGGCACATTTCTGCAGACTCGCGCTACTTTCCTCAGTTAGCTTCAGGCCCCACTGAGGAGAAGTAAGTGGAACGAGTGGTGTCATAAATGTTGTATTTTATATGTTAATAGATTGTTTAATGTTACACTTCACACAAGCCAAACCTATTTGCAGTTAATATCTATATTTTGCCGTGTGTGACTGTAGTTTATATAATGTGCAGCGCTTCAAACAGTGTTTGGGAGCTTTCTAAAGTTTAGCTATATGCTAACCTAACATGTGCGTGTTTTCTTCCACTGAAGGTGTGAAGTTAGAAAGCTGATGAAGCCATTTCCTGCTTTAATTATTATATTCTGTTTTGCACAGGTATGTGGGTATTCTTTTTGTATTTTGTAACTGTAAATTGTATTGTTTGTTATGTAAGTGTAAATTAATGGTTATATTTGTGTATATTGGTTTACAAGGAAAAACTGGTTTGCCACCATGGATAGATGTATATCTGTTAATTGTATTATTTAGAACTCTGTATACTTTCCTGAGTTAGCTTCAGGCCCCACTGAGGAGAAGTGTGAAGTTAGAAAGCTGATGAAGCCATTTCCTGCTTTAATTATTATATTCTGTTTTGCACAGAGAATAAATCCTGGTTGGCAAGAAAGAAGTCGTTCTCATTTACACAACATAACACAACGCAGAGATCACATGTGGCGTCAAACCAGACCGGTTACACAATGCTTTTGTATTTTTCCCCTTCGATTCGGAGAAACAAATATGTTTTCGGAGTAAAGGATGGCAGAAGACACTACATTACCCAGAATCCCCAGCTATCGTTTGGACTACACCATGTGCTCTGTTTGACGTCAGGTGATCTTCAAATTTCTCCCTGAAGAAAAAAAAAACATGGCCGAACTTCGTTTTATTCTCGATGGAAAATGCCTATTTTAAAGTTAGTTTGGCCATTAAAATGCGTTTTGATGTCATTTGATGCGAGAAATATGAGTTGTTATTTCAGATTATGTGTGCAGTGGATGTACATGATCTTTAGTTTGCTAGTTATTACGAAGATTACTTCAGGAAATTGCGTCCATAACGTTTTCATTGTTACCAAGGTGGTTGCTAGGGACGCTGCTATCGATATTATTTCTGTTATGTTGTGTAACTGTTTAATGGTGTTATCTTTATTGCTACCCCCTTCCCCGTCAATGTATAGTGTTGGTCCACAGCGCAAACGTATTAGTTTAACAAAATCCGCATCTAAAGATAGCCTACGTTATTTCCCCCTGTGCAATTCCAGTCTCACATCTCAGAGCACATCGTCATTAACAAATACCGGAAACAGACCGAAAACATTGAAAAAAAAAATATTAATACTTTATTCCGAGTGTGCTTGCTTTTCTCTTTGGAAGTCATCACATAACGGCATTGTAATACACGGTTCAGCTGCATTAAATATTACATATCTGCCATAGTTCTGTATGTATAGAGCCCTGATGAGAAGACTTCTAGACAAACATGAGGAACTGAAAACGTGACGTGGATCATAAATATATCAGCCATTAAACAACATCTTACATTTCTTTTCACACAATACGTCTCCTTGCAGTATCAACACTAATTCGGCTGACTTTTATATTTGATCCAATTGGTAGATAGGCTGTATTTACACCATAAAGGTGCACACCTGATATAAAGGGACACCTAGTGGTTAAAGCATGTTATTGAATTTCATTATTTTTATCATTAGATATTAATAGGATCCCTATAAAGTATATTAATTACTCGCTATTCTCTACTAATAGTTAATTAAAGACTGTATATAATGACTATTTTGCACATCCCTTTCAAGATTTTCTAAGGTTTATTGACATATCATATAGGCCTACACAACTATGGTGTAGTTCTGCATTGAATGAAAAACTTGGGTCGCAGGTTCCTCAATAGTGCATTACAAGACATCTATCAATATTTGTGCGTACCTCCAGCAATGTTAACTATGTTGAAGCACTTATTTTAACTGATATTATAATGTATTATACTCTTATAAGATGTATGTAGATATTTCATCTCCGGCCTTGTCAGGTATTGAACAATCAATAAATAAAGAACACAGAATTGTTGAATATAAAACACAGAATTTGTGTGATTATACTAAATGATTTACAAATAAACACCACTGCATATTTAACTGTTACACATGCTGATGTAACGCAAATGTTCCAACTTGAGATCAATAAAGTATATCTTATCTTAAGCTGATCGATGGCTACTACCATATTTGCAAAATGTGCCTCTGAACCTTAACAAGTGCATGTTTCAGGCTTATCAATTAATGTAATGTTATCAATTAACAACAGGGGTCACAAACATAAGACCAGCTGTTAAATAAAGCTCTTCTGACCTTAGCTGGCATGTGTGTATATATATATATTAATGCTGCCCATTATGGGCACAAGCAATTTTCACCCATTTATTAATTATATGTTTTAAATGTGAGTGTTTCCTATCTCCTAAACCTCCAGGGATGTACACAGTTTAATACTGGCAACTTCTTATTATGGGAAATACGAAAACGTCTTTTAAAACTACAACTCCCAGTAGAGACGTGCCATAGATACAGAACATGTTGCGAAACAGAATAGCCAGCATGTGTAGTTCTGGGGACGGGGTGGGGGAGGGGGGGACGCGGTGGACCCGTTCAAATCCAGTTTTGGACAGTCTGACGTGGTTCCATCCCATTTCAAGTGCTGTTCGAGGCTCGGCGTAACCCTCGGAGCACACTCTCCAATCACAGAGCTTGAGGACTATCACGGGGTTTGTCAAACAGAGCACATGGTGTAGTCCAAACGATAGCTGGGGATTCTGGGTAGTGTAGTGTCTTCTGCCATCCTTTACTCCGAAAAAACATTTTGTTTCTCCGAATCGAAGGGGAAAAATACAAAAGCATTGCACACAATTTAAACCAATCAATGTTGTGTAATTAACAAGGATAATCTGGTGTTTTTTAGTCGATGAGTAGTGCAGATATCACTGTAAAATCAATCGACAGTAAGGGGAATACTTACTTCCGGGTGTACAATTCTCCGTTATCCAATGAGAATGGACGCTCACATTGCCTTTAAGGGCAGTCGACACAAACGAACGCCGTGCTTCCATGAGCGTCCATAGAAGCATATGGACATCCCGGAAAGCTGAAAATGGACGCTAAGGGCCACCCCCTTGCGTTGAAAATGGACGCTAAGGCCCCCCCATGCGTTTGAAAAAGCCGACAGGGGACTTGACATAACGTCAACATAGGCCGACCTGGGAGTGAGGATGTGTTGGATCAACAGCTACAAGCCTGAAGCCCCGCCCCCTCACATAAACGACCGATGCATTGCAAATGAGTAGAACCGGTTCTACTGTCGCTTTGAAGACCAATGATAGGTCCCAACAACTAACCCTTTCCACCTTCCACCAGCTCCAGTCTCACCCCCCATCATAGATGAATTCTTCCTCTGCTCCTTAAAAACAACCTTGGTTAATTACCTGTGCATATTTAAATATAATGATGTGCTAAGTTAGTGTTACAGATAATCATTGGGGAGCTAGCCAGGAAGAGCAGCTCGAAATAAATAAATATGAATCATTTTACAATTTGGGAACATGTTGTAATATGTTCCCGATTTTTCCTTTTAGTTATTATATAGAGAAAAAGGGAAATGACACATTAGTTATAGAATAAAAAGACAAAAGAGTACACATCCATGGGTACAATTAGTAACGGCAATAATTGTTTATGAAATGTATAAAACGTTTCAAATGTTTGTTTGTTATATAAAAGGGATAGGCTAATTGCAGATTTAAGAAGGGCAGGAACTGAATATGAGATGTTTAGGGAACATCTGTGGATTGTAAATGTTGCGTGTCATATACAAAGTAGATGTACTTGTAATGCGAGTAATGTTTAAAAAATAATGTTTTAACCGAGGAAGTGTTTTATCATGTATCATCACCAGTTTATTTATTTTATTCTCTCTGTAAGTAAAGAAGGCTGTGAGATTTGAAAAACTCAAAAAAGAGAGTAAGTGGGTCTCAAGTTCGTTGTACAAATATATCCTCATTATATTTTCTGTGTGTAATTTTCACTGAATAATCTCTATTTTACATTTATGTGTTTCCCCTTATAGAGCATATTTGTTGTACTTTGTTTTAATACCAGCTGCCATGTTACAAACCGGCTCTTGGGCTGTAACAAAAAGCTGGGAGTCGAGAGGAGGGGTATGAAAATATAACAATCATTTAAGAGTAGTTGATCCAAAAACAGAGAGCCGCGGCGCGAGGCTCACACGGGGAGTGTGCGAGAGGAATGAGAGAGCGGAGAGCACCCTCCATTCTGAGGAAATGGGCTGCCAAATTATTCTCAAGCTGCCATGTCAAGTGAAGTCATCGATATTTTCTACAACCAAAATCATCTTCTTCAAAAGCTGTCTTGTCTTGCATGTCCCTTTCATGTTCAGTCTGGACAACTGCAGTTTCAGTTTGATCAAATGTTTCTGTATTCATCAAAATTCCTGGCTTAAACTGCAACTGGCTATGCCTCTGTCTGCCATCATGGTTCCTGCTTTTGTGGGAATTAAATGTCGTGTAGAGACACTGGTTTCAAAATGACAATCCTGGTGGTCAAGGGCGCCGGAAGCGGGGGGGCCAGGGGGCCATTGGCCCCCCCACTTTTCAGCCCTGCCCCACATTTTCGCAGCAGCAGATTTTTTTTCTTTTTTTCTTTTCTTTCCAGTCTTTATTTCGAACAGATTCAAAAATAACAAATAAAAAATAACAAATGTGAAAAACAGAATACCGTATTGTTATAATACAGTATTTATCCACATTCATGGTAATATTTGTATATTCAACAAAAAAAACAAAAAAAGTCTTCATATTAATAATAATAATAAATCATATGTGTCCGAAAGGGAGCAGGAGGAAGCAAATGCTTATTAATTCCCACCCCTTACTTGATCAATGATTGTCCTTTAAATCATTATGCAAGTTATTCCTACTTAGATTTACATTTATACATATACAATCATTTCTCGTCTTCAATCACTTTCTTCATTCTCATAGGTTTCCCAAAAAAGTGTTTCTGTACATCCTTTTAAACTGAATGATGCTTGTGCTTTGTTTGAACTCCTGCTCCAAACCATTCCATAAAATCACCCCACAGGTTGTTAAACTCATACTTCTCAGAGTTGTTCTGACCTTGAGTTGTTTAAAATGTAGATTTCCTCTCAAATGATACCCACCCTCTCTGTCTATGAACAATGTTTTTAATTTCCTAGGAAGTAGATTATGTCTGGCTCTGTACATGATTTGTGCCGTTTTAAATGTAACCAGATCAATGAACTTCAATATGTGTGACTTCAAAAATAATACATTAGTGTGTTCAAGATATCCAACATTATTGATAACTCTTATAGCCCTTTTTTGTAATGTGCATAACGGCTGTAGGTTGGTTTTGTACGTGTTTCCCCAAATCTCCACACAGTAAATCAGATATGGCAATATTAGTGTGTTATATAGAGTATACAATGAGTTATAGTCCAATGTATCTGGCTTTTCCCAATATTGCGATAGTTTTAGCCAGTTTTGCTTTTACATGAGTGATATGAGGTTTCCAGCTGATTT